TGGCGCCGCAGAAGCGGGCACGCACGCTGCCAGGCCGCAGGTAGTAAAGGCAGCAGGAAGTACCCACGAGCTGTGGGCACCATCTGCAGAGCGTGCTGTTCCCTCAACTTCAGGGACGGGCACTGGGAAAATGAGTTAATATTCCTTCTGGTTTATCACAGCAAAGGTCCCAGCCAGGACACGGAGCGCTTTCATAGTTAATGCAGTAAACCTCTGGGCTGCTTATTTGGGATGACTTCAGCGTTGAATCTGCCAAACCAAAGATGCAGAATCATACCTCGTGTGTCCAAAACTATCCCACAACTGGCAGAGACCAAGATCAAAACCCAGGAAATAGCTGTCAAGAGCCAGTCTGCTTCGCAAGCAGGTAAACAAGCTGATTTTCTCTGATCTCTCCGCTGGCAGGCGCGGGCTCAGAGGCCTGTCTGCTGCTGGTATCCGGTGCCATAGGAGTCTGCCTCACAGATGCTGTTTGGCTGCAAAAGCAACCGCGCGTAGCTGGAGAGGGGATGCACGCTCCCGCGTTTCCGCTTACTTTGGTTTAGCTCTCTTGCAAGCGCCACCGAGATCTCTCAGCTCTTCCACAGCAATTAGCATTTACAGTTACTTCAAGTACAGCTGGTTACAAAAATACCAACCAGGAGGGAAGAGGCCGAGGAATTCCGCCAGCAGTGGGATAAAGCCCCTGCCAGCAGCAGCAGACCCAGCGCCCGACGTTCGGCAGGCACACGGAGGGGGCAGGGGAGCGGGTGCCGTGCTCCGCGCAGGCAGGCAGTGCCGGCAGTGCTGCCGGCCTCCTGGCTTCCACGCCAAGCGTGTCGCAGCTCGAGGCTCTGGGCAGGCAGCTGCACTATCTCAGCTCGCAGAGCCGGAAGAGACGCTTACATCTACACACGTGACGCAGCCCGGACTGGCTTCCCCTGAAACCACAGCGTGCAGCCCTACAGACATCTCGGTAAGGCTGCATCGCCATCCCAGTTGCCAGAACATCCCCCTGCTGCACCCCCCCCAAGTAATGCCTCAGCCCAAAGGACAGCAGGCCTGGAAGGTCACCCAGCTTCGACAAAACGGCTTCTGCAACCCTCTGCCAGCTCTCCTCCAGCGCCAACAGCAAGCTGAGTGAGGGGCAGTTTGCTGGCAGAGGGAGCAGACCTGTTGGCAACAGTGCTCTTGCCAAAAGTCCTGTCCCTCTGGAGCCAGGTTTGGATCTGGTGCGCCAGCTCTGTGTCCTGCTGAGCTGCCAGCAGTGGCGTGAAGTCACCCAGGAGCTCAGGACCGTCACGTCGTGCCTTCTACTGGGATCGCCTGGTGCCCTTCTCCAGCAGAAACATGCATCGGTGGGTGCGTATAGATGTCTAAAACATTCCCCCAAACACTTCACTGATGCATTTGTCCTCCTGGGAGAGGATGAGGGAAGAAAATGACGGGTTTTCATCGCGCTACCAAAACCCTGGCACACTGACACAGTGAGCTGGGTGTGTTACCACAGGGAATGGCAGTTACGGAGCTGTTTGCACTGGTACTGCAGTGCAACGCCTTGGGTTTCTGTCCGGGAGGCAGCCTGCAGCATTACTGCCCGTTATACCACGACGTGGGCACATGTGTGGCCTGAGCATACACAAAACCTACAGGACAGAAGTCTTTGGGTGAATAGCAGCGGAGGAATTCTCGAGTTTACATTTCCTAAATGCTTATGTTAAACCATATAATCCTATATGTTACTGACTTGTTTCAGAATCTGTACAGCCCACTGTCACTCGTCCAGGAAACCAGAGAAAGTGAGTATTTTTGTGCAAGCTGGAAAGTGAACACTGCAGCAGCAAACAGAGCTCCTGCAGCCCAGCTAGAGCTCCTGGTGATGCTCCTGCACAGTACGAGCAGAAGCAGACTGATCATTTCAGCTCCTTCAGAGACATCAGTGCTTTCCAAGGGGAAAGAAAACAATTAACATTTAGCATTTGATTTGTGTGCCATTAGGAAGAAAAATGAGCTGAGCAGACTTATATTGCATTAATTAGCATCTCATTAAGAGGTCGCAAGGCTGAAAATACATAGGGGCAACATGCGTGGAGCAAAGACCGTGTTTTTCTGGTTCCATGATTAGATTTGTTTGCTTTTGTCATCCACTAGACGGGAGACGACCATGTCGGCTTTTGTCTACAGGTCTGTGCATTACTGTTGTTCAAGGTACTCCAAAATCAGCAAGCTGTATTTTTGTTGTTAATTAGTTGGCGAGGTGACAGATCATGCGAATGTCTGTAAAACTGCCTATGGGCAAATTCTCTCCTGGGAGACAACGGTGAGACACCGATGTTTTTGGCACAGGAGGAAAGCAGTACTTGAAAGTAGGCTTGTCTTTGATTTGTTACCAAAGCTGAAGCTATAAGCAAGCCCAGAAAAGGACTTTTAAGCTGGAACTATAAAAACAAAATCCCAGATGAGTGGGGATCCCGCTTGAGGCAGGAGAGCGCCCTCTCAGCGTGGGAGCCGCACACCTTGTGATGACTGACAGAGGTAGGAGGGGTGCAGGGCCCAGCCCGACTGCACAGTGCCAGGACACGGCTGCTCGTGCCAGTCGGGGTGATTACAGCCCCCGATACACCAGTCCCCAGGAAGGCATTAAACCAGAACCAGATAGGCGTGTTGTGCGCACAGACGCTGGGAGGTTCGAGGAGCGCTACGCAGGAGGAGAACCACCTCATCTTACTCACTAGCCTGGGGAGTGGGGAAACAGGAGCTTCGCAGGAGCCAGCACGATCTCACTGAGGAGGGACAATGTGCAGCCTCTGAGCCTGCCAAACGACCCAGCTTATTTTGTTTAACTGCCACACCGATGTCAAGGGCCTCCTGGGTTGTCCCATAGGGCCTGGAAGTAGGCTCCCATGCCATTTCCAGTGGCAGTAAGTATATATCAAGGTACACAGCTCCCCGTCCTTTAGATGTTCTGTTCAAATCCGTAGGGGAAAAAAGTTCATCCTTCGTTTCTCTTTTAGTTCCCACTCTCTTTTTTCTCCTAACCTGCTAACTTTCCATTTCCTTCAGTGACTCCCTTCTCCTCTCTTTCATGTCCACTTTATTTTTCCAGTGTTCATCTTGCTACACTTCCCAGAATCTCTACTAGTGCATGAGATCTGACCTAAATTAATTTTCCCATCGTGTCTTCTCTGCTGTTCTAATGCCTCCCCTGGACTTGTGGAACTCCATCAGTTACAGAGAGCTGCAAACACTACCAGCACCCCTAGATCCTTTGTGTTCTTACAACCATCCTGTATTTACAATTTAACTTGCCACTGCACACCCAAAACCTCCATGTTCTGTAAACTGTACTTCACTAGCATGTCAGTGGCTTAAAATTCCTCCCTGGAGCCAACTATATGCTGGTTTGATGACTGTCCACGCTTCTGTCCAAAGACAAAATGCAGTGATGCCGATTCTTTCCTCAGATGCCTTTTCTCAGTACTGAGCCAAGTGTCAGACTCTTGCTCCTTCTTCCAGTCCCTGTGGAGCTCTGACCCTGCCTGCCTTTCGCCTGGTTTCTGTCACACTCTTTCTGCCCCAGCAGGGCTAGGCTGTGTTTCCACGGTTCTGCACAGAACCGCGTATGCTTTTGCTCCAGAGCACGCGCCAGCGTCAAGTCTGAGCTGGCTGGTGAGCATCAGCGTGACCAGCGACGTGCCGTTCGACGGATCGGCGCTTGTGTCGCATGCCTGACGTGTCCGGAATGCCCCAGATTCACTGTGCCTGCCGACGCCGTGTGCATGCTGCAGCCAGAAGGGCTGAAGCTTTCCAGAAAGGTCAAGTTGACAGCGTATGTGCCGTAACAGTGATCTGCCCTTGTGCAGGACTCCCATGTTTGGGATTTTCTAATATCTGGAAGCTTAGAAAGACGTATTAAAATCATGCCATCTTCCCCAGACAAAACTGTAGGTAGAAAAATGACGTGCCCCTGTGGCAGCTTGCTTTCTCCCTCCCTCGTCGTCGGATTTTCTGCTGTGCTGGCTGTCGCGTCTGTGTGAGTATGAGAGAACCTTAGAAACTGCAGTCTGCAGTCGGCCTTGTGCTCAGGGACGGCCTGCGGCCGTGCTTTGCCACTCCCAGCAGTGGTCTGGGGGTGTTCTCGTTTGATCGTGGTCTCTCACGATTGTGAGCTCCTGTTTGAAAACCGCTGGACATTGCTCTTCAAGTCATTAGCAGGCATAGTCAGAATACACATCTTACTCTGCTTCTATATTCCTAAATGATGGATCATCACATATGCCACACATCCTCCCATCTGAGTCCCTCCCGGGCAGCAGAGGCGAGCCTGCTAACAGGCTTCGCCCTGGCCTGATGCCCAGTGTTAAGTGACCTCACCTGAAGTTCTATTTCTGTCTCTTTCTTGACATCTTGCAGCTGTTTCTGCAGTGACTTTATCTCCTTCTTTCCTTCCTCCTCCCTGAAGAAAAATGGGAAAATACAATCACTTCAATATATCAAAAAAGACAAGAGCTGTTTACCCAGAAGGAGAACTTCCTGCCTCTTCATACGCTGCGGCACCTCGTAACAGCTGAGCGAGAAGAAGTGCACACGCAATCTTGGCCTGGTTCTTCCAAACAGCAGAAGGCAAGCCACTTCCTGCGAGCAGCAAAACAGGCATTCATCTCCTCACTCTGAGCCTCAAGGAGGCAGCACGTCCGCAAACCCGGAGCAGAGACTCCTCACCAAAGCTAGCGACTTGGTAAATTAATGCCGAAAGAAGAGGTGCACGCCCTGAGCAAAGGGGACAGTAATGAAAGGGAGAATGAACCAAAAATCAGGGGATGGTCTTGTTGAATGCCTGGAATGGGCTTGAGGATGATGCAATTCCAACAGCAGAGAGGGAAGAGGCCTATCTTGAGCGACAGTTTCCGCATTTCCGGCAAAAACCTTGTGTCTGTGCAGAAGCATCCCTAGTCGGCAGGCAGTGCCAAAGAGTGTAACTTCTGTTACATGTATGGAGTATGGGTTTTGTCATATCAGCCTTAAAATCATGAGGCAGTATGAGTGAAAGCCAAAAGCTACAGAGCTGTTTACCTGTTTGAAAGACAACAGATGCAGTAATGCTTAGGTCTTATTATTACCTTATTTCACTCTGAGTGCTTTTCTGAGCTTATGATTTGATTCATCCCTTCCACGGATAAACAATAAACCCCTTGGGTTTAGGCAGCGGAGGAGCTGGGTTTCACGCCTGAAAGCACACATTTCACTGGAAGCTGGGGACTTGCACTGGAGGCAGATCCCTGAGCCAACCCCGGAGCTGTTCCAGTAGGTTGGACTCGTGACAAATCACGACTTAAAGCAGCTTTGCTGTCTGCCCTAAATGACGGGCCTGTGCTGCTGCAGAACAAAGTAGCTTTAAAATGGTCACATACCTCTGTGATGACTGCTGTTCTCTGGGAGGCTGGGATTGACCCAGAGCTTCCCGTGCTAAAATAACTCGTAACCTCTCCTGCACAGAAGTTTGAGCTAGGGAATCACCGGTCTGAGTTGAGATTATAACAAATCCGTACCCTACCAGATTTGGGACAGAAGAGGATCTATAGTGCAGGGGCTGGTGGATTGGCCTTAAATAAGACAACTGCCTCTGTCACCATCTGTGCTAGCCCCTCGCTGCTACTGGGAAAAGGGAGCATATTAGCCCACGGGTCAGAGCAGACCCTCCTGGGCATCACTAATCTAAAGGCCATATGTTGCTGACCCTGGCTGGAAGAGATTCTCTGCTGCTGTGGCTTTCACTGGGGACAAGGAGCTAAAGATGAGGGAGCTCCTACATTACATTATGGTTTATTTGATATGGAGCAGCATTTGCATTAATGCAGACGCGGGTGTCACCGTGGTGAAAGCTCAGGCAATTGCAAGCTCACATCGGTATCACAATCATCAATTACTTCTTTCTGAAAGAGAAATAAGTGCAATTTGTAACGCAGACAGAATAATTCAGATTGGAAAAGCGGAATCCTTTCTGTGTCTTGAGTTTTTGTTTTGTTTTTTTTTTCTTTTTAGCATGTGCTGAAGGGGAATGGACTTTGGCTTTGAGCAGTTAAGCAGGATAGTACTGAGCACAACACTGACCTGATGAGGAAGTCATGAAACTTGCTCTTTTTTGCCTTTTCTCTCTCGTTAGCTTCTGTTAGGCTATTAAATGTTCCTGATTCCTGCATCATTTTCATAGTGACTGTAATTACATCACTTGCATACTGCCTGCCAGGAAGAAAGGGAAAAACAGGAGTTTATAGATGTTGGTACTATAGTGTCTGGCACCTTTATCCATTATTGTTTACAACTAAAAAGGTAAGGGAATATGAAATCCCATTTTTGTTCTTATGCCTGTCAAACCCAGGGTGTTTCTCCCATGGCACCTGCTTCTTGTGCATCTGGTGAACTCTATATTTAGAGTTGGTTGAAGTTTATAATTTCAAAATGCTGCCTTGAATGCTGCTCTAGGAAATAGCAAAGAGGCACAGATATATCCATGCTGTGCCAGACTGTGCTGCATCAGGAAAAAGGCTGCTGGCCTGCAGCAGTGATGACAGCTAGGTAGATCTTGGACAGTGAGACGTGAGGATGCAGACAAGTGTATCTATGAAAGGATATCTGGGGGCGCCAAATATCCCAGTACAGTCCTAAGCTGATCTTAACAAATACATGGGCTTGCAAACTTCATGGTGCTTATGGTATTTTTATTTTAGTTGCATTTTCCTCATTTGTGTTAGGTTCTTCATTAAGCCCTTTCTTGAAATGACATTAAAGGACAGGAGCCAGGATGCAGAAGAATGCATACTGAATGCTCAGCTCCCTGGTCTGTCTGTTAAACCAAAGGCTGTTGGTATTTCTGCAAATCAAGGCACTTGATTATGTGCAGGGATAAAATGCATTTAAAAAAAGAAAGAAACTCTTTGGTGTTTATCCACACGGTCTGTTCTGTAAGGGAGAATGGCTGTAGCTGCAGAGGGGCTGTGTGCTCTGCAGAATAACCGACTCCACGAGGCAACGCCCGTATCCCCTTTTGCCTGTATGTATCTGCTCGGGTAAGCTGACTCCAGATGCCAGAACATCAGCACTGGCTAGTACCTGGTGTGAATTCCACCCTGCAACCATTATCAACTGGGTAGTATTTTGCAGCTCCGTTGAAAATAAACGGCTGTCATTTCTTGGCATCCAGAGGCAAGCAAAGGCTAGAACTAAATGGGCTAAGAAGCTGGACCCCTCTGTGCTCCTTAGAGATACTCTTTCCAGACCCCGAGTGAGGTACACCAGCCATGGGAGAGTGGGAAGCCGGTATTTCTGCTTTCAAGAGACATGCCTGAGAACTTTCCAGCTCTGAGCATCCCCCCATATCCATACTGGTGCTTCACTCACCTGGCAGCCTGAATTTTTCTGAGTTGCTCTACAGACAGAACACTCTGTTTCATTGCCCTCTTGGAGAGATGATGGGTACTTTTTAGCTCTTCAGTTTTCCCCAGCTGCTGCTTGTGTTCAGTGCTTTTCAGAGGCAGGCAGGTAACTCTTTCACCACTCCCTTGCCTTGCTGACACAAGCTCTTGGTAGTTGATGTCCAGCTCTTTCTCAGTCTCTAGGATTTCTTTAATTTCCTGGCTGCCAGTCTAAAAGGGAACAAGAGATCTGCTTGCACATTGGGCAGTAGAAGTAAACTCTCAGCAACGTTATGTGAGAAGAATTAATAATAAACCAGAATGAAGCTATGCTGAAAGCAGTTCATAGCGTGTGTTCCATTCTGCAAAGACAAGGCCCCCAGAAACATTTATCTTGGTTAGCTCTGAGCGCGTAATGTAGGCTTATAAAAGTTTATGGGATCAAAAGCCCTAAAGTAACACCACTAGAAAAGGCTCAAAAGACCAATTCACCTGCCCCAAGAGATGATGGCTCAGACTACGCACCCTCCTGCCGCTGCTAGCGTGTCACAGCAGCCTTTACTGTAAAGACGTTTGTTCTCCCCAGCTGCAGTTGAGGCCCTGACTCCTTGTCCTGGTCTCTGCAGGCACAGAGAACGGGCGATTCTTTCCTTCTTTGCAGCAGTTTTTATGCACTGGAAGGCTGTTCCCCTGTTTCCCGTCCACCTTCTCTCCATCTCAGCCATTTCCCACTGCCTGTCACCACGACCTTT